GGGCAGGCGGGAATTGAACTCATGCGGAAATGGCTTTAGCTTCTCAGTGCAGTGCTTTAACCCGCTGCGCCACCAGGGAGGGCCTTATCACTTTTTTTTTAATCATTCCAGTGATATTGCCCATAGTACCACCCTCATGATGAACTATTACTGAGTCCTTAAAATGACATTTATGAACTTGTTTTTAAAACATCAAAACAAATTTATGATCTAGGGTTGAGCAAAGTACAGTGTTGTATGTATTTGATATCTAGGTTGGGGCCGAGGGTGTATAAGATCAACACTAGTTGGTCCGGTAGGAGTTGTATGTTTGCTTATCAACAAAAATACCCACCACACATCCCACCCAACACAATACAGGAAGCACAGCTGGACATTAGTTGAAATATGGTATTAGACATATGTACTATTGAAAGTGCTCTAAATGCTGCTCCTTATTACTTCTGATTTTACCTCAAATTTCAGGGTTTTCTTCTCCTTTGCTGCACTAGCACTATTCAGTTAACAGCTATGATGAAAGTCATTTGGGGGATTCATAAATGGAATGGAAAGAGGGGCATGAATTTCCTGAGCTACCTGGACATGGAAAAGGGAGGCGAGAAAGACTTAAGTAGAAAAGTTGTGTATGTATTTCTTTATATGCGATAGGATGTACTTACCTAGGAACGGTGGCAGGAAATGAAACAGTGTAGCATGCACACAGACCCAGGAAAAGTGAAACAAGGGAAAAGACATGTGTTAGTGTAGGACTGGGCTTGGCTACAGAACAAATGAATGAAGTAAAAACAATTAACTGTTTGGCAGAATTGTGGCCACTGGAAAATAAGAGGGTTGGAAGGGGAGACAGTGAACGGGGAGACAGTGAATGTCATTTGCATTAACCACTTTTCTTTTGAGGGAACAAAGATGGTTTGTGAAGACAGGTGCTTCAAACACTAGTCACTAGACAACTGAAAACGGTGTGTACTGAGGTGAATATGTCTGCACGATTGTGCACTGCTTGATTGCAGCCCCATGGATGATTTCCAAAGAACAGTTTGTACCTTCCCTTCCCTTACTATCTGTTTTCAGTCGAGTTGGATAGTGTGTTTTGGTTTAGAAGTCCTGAGAGCTACCACCTGCATTTGCTGTTCAGCCATAAAGAAATTGAAAACTGGAAAGGAGTGAGGGGTTGAGGAGAGGGTGTTTGTTTGGAGAGGGGTTTATTGACATGTGGGATTTTTTAATGCACTGGAGGAGGGAGTTTCACTGGTGTCTATAAGAACATATGGCATTATTATTCTCACCTGTGACTATTCAAACAAATTCCCATCAGCAGGATTCTGTCACTCTCACATTTGGTGTACTTACGATGGAATTTTTCAGATTTACTATGTCTGGGACAGTCCAAGGTCTTGGCTCAAGTCAGCATCATTTGGAGAACTTAAAAAATACTGATAACTGGATTCCACCCTCAGAGATTTTTACTTAATTGGTCTGGGCCTAAGAGCTGGATATAGAGGAGCTCGTAAATCTCCCCCAGGTGATTCTAATATACAGCTAGATCTGGAAACCTCTAGTTTAACCCATTGCTAAGTTGACTGACTCGATTAAATCAATCCTTAAAATCTGGTCCTGAACCTGCAGCTTTAGCATCAGCGGGGAACTTGTTTGAATGCAAAATCTCACAAGCTTCTCCAAATTTTGCTGAGTCAGAAACTGGTGAGGGAACGACCCAGCAATTTGTTACAACTAGTGCTGTTAGTGACTATGGTGTGTTATATATAGGTGATGCACACTGGGTTAAATACTCCTTCCTAACATTTCCTAAAGTATATCTATGGAGGATATATGAAAGATGTTCTCCCTGGTTGATGAAAATGAACCTGGAAGAAGACTTTGATAGAAATACATTTAATACTTATATTAGGTGCCTTGCTGGAGAAAGGGTGTGATAATTTTTTGCAAAACCCAAGCAAGCAGGGGCCATATCTTCATAATGTTCGGGGGTTGGTTGCATGTCAGGTGTATCTTTGGTGACAGTACCTACAGGCAAACTCCTCCTTATCCTCTATGAAACGTTCACTGTACTCTGTTGTAAATTTTTTCATCCTTGTAGGTTCTTTCCTTCCTTTAATAACTCTTCTCTATATTGTAGTTCTCTAGAAATCATTCCACTTCACTAAATTGTATGATCTTTGAAGTCAGGACACTGTCTTATCCATCTTTGGGTCTCTGCTATCTGACAGGATACTTCACTCAGATATCCTGAATGCTCTAGAGTTGTTCACTTAGGAGAGGCAGGAGAAATGATCAGCTTTGGGGGCTGTCAACAGTCCCTAAAAGATGGGTTTACCTTTGTGAATTAATCATGGTCCTGGGTCTGTTTTGAAAACTAGGCCCTTGATTCTGTCCACACACCATGGGTTCATATCTCTTACCTATCGCTTTATCCAACAGGGATCTCAGCGACCTATCAGCAGCTTATTACATTGCAGTAGACTAAATAATTGTCAGATTCCAGAACAATACTGATGGAAAAACTGATTAAAATCTATAGGGGTATGTTCATCACAGGACAAAAATACTTGAGTCCTGGGATCCCAGCCTGCTTGCCACTCAAGCTGTGCATCTTCTGGGTCTTTGAACTTCTCTAATTCTTTGATGTGCTTTATTCAACCTGGTCTGTTCACAAATATTCTTCAAACAAGGTAAACACTTAGGAAATTACAGCCGCCTTTGCACTGTCACCTTATGTATGTTATTCTCAGGCCAACATAATTGTATGTTTGTGTTACCAACTCTTAGAGTCACAGGTTCAAGGATAGTCCCCTCATTCAATTTCCTAGACAGTTTAAACATTTAGTACATATGGAAATTTACATATGGATTGGTCTTGGAGGACAACCTCCTTATTTCCGAGTTTTTTTTTTTTTTTTAGATTTATTTAGTTATGCACACAGAACTGGGGTACAGGCCGAGGTGCAGGGGTGGTGAGAGGATTCACCAGAGACAGAGCGGGGAGCAGAACAGGCTGACTGACGAAGTACACTGCTGAGGGGAGCAGCGGGCGGGTCAGGAGAGGTCTGCCGCGTCATGTAGATCACCTCCAGGGGCGGGGATCGAACTCATGCTGAAGTGGCTTTAGCTCCTTAGTGCTGTGCTTTAACCCACTGTGCCACCAGGGAGGGCCCTATTTCCAAGTGTTTTGGGGTGAGTCACCATACTGGTGCCTCAACTTCTTCCAAGTGTAATAATTTATAAAACTATAGGAACTTTGAAGTACATGTTAGTGTTGTTCTCTAAAATGGCATTTTAAGATCCAGAGTATAAACCAGAAGAAACTGATTTCCTTCTATGACTATCTGTGATCTAATATATATGTGCTGAATATATTTTCCAATTTTTTTGTCTATAGGCATTATACTTGATAGCCACTAATGGGACCCCAGAGCTCCAGAATCCGGAGAGACTGTCAGCTGTATTCCGTGACTTTTTAAATCGCTGTCTTGAAATGGATGTGGATAGGCGAGGATCTGCCAAGGAGCTTTTGCAGGTGAAAATAAAATAGACAATTACAAATAGAGTCATTATAGAGAAACTTTCTAGCTCAAAGTGTGACAGTAAGAGCTCTGTCAAGAGATGTGTAGTCCCGTCCAGGCTAAAATACTTTGATTTTAGGCCACAGGCACATCAATGTAGGCATTCATCCAATATGTGATTAACTGGCATGTTCTGAGAAGTTGCCAGCGTAATCTATACATCTCTCTTGTTCTTCCTGAAGTCTTACTTTGCAAGGAAAGGACACAACGTGAGCCTCCGGTGTTGCTGTTGAGTCTAAACTTCACTTGTGCCCCTGTATGTTGTAGGCAGGTACTCTTGGCTGGAGGTAGTTCTCTACATAACTGTGCAATTATTTCCTTGGTACTTGGTACTCTTAATGCTTTGCTGGTCAAAGCCCCTTTATAGAGTTAGCTGCACAGTTACAGATCATTGAATTGATGATGTAATGCATTCCTTCAATAATACTTGTATCTGAACCAATCAGTTCACTGACACAAAACTGTGTTTGAGCTTAACTGGATGGCTTGTTGCATCTTTTATTTGTATACATATAAGTGATGATCTGTACATCACATGAAGTCCATCCAGCTCCATTCCTGGGTTCTAGCCTATGCTTGCTCATTTTAGACATTGGAAAGGAGACCCATGACATTCTTTCTTATCACTGAAAGGCTTCAGTATTTGTATACCGTTCTATATGGCCTCAGTCAATTATCTGCACATCAACTGATATTGAGTAGCCTCTGTTTGCAAGATGTGTCATGAGTAATACAAATCTGTTAAGGGTATGATTTCTACTCTCCAGAACCTCACAAGCTCCTTCAGTGTATATATACACACACACACATATATACACATATATATATATAATGCATAGCTTTTTAGAGACCCAAACCAAGTGTCTGTGCAAATATTAAATGCTATGGTTGATTAGAGAAATGCTTCTGTGGGTTATGGTGATCTGAAAATCTCTGCAAATAGGAGTGAGTTCTGCTGTTCCTTGAAGGACATAATGAGTTTACATAGGTTGAGCTAAAAGTGGGAAGGAATTTCAGATGAAAGTGTGCTATACAGTCTGAACAAAAGGCATGTGCACAAAGTTCAAGTGACCAGCAAATGTGACGTGCAGCTGAAGTCAAGAATTCAAGTAAGGAAGCTGCAGGAGCTAAGACCTTAGACCGTAAAGTAACAAGCTAGGAGCTGAGGCTGTAGGCAGTGGGGAAACCCTGAAGATAGCTGAGGGTCAACCATGACAAGAGTTTAGTTGAGGAAATTTAAACTAGTGGCATGCATTACAAATTAGCAACAGGAGAAAATGGAAATTTCCTGATCGGGGGGAGTTATTAGTATAATTCAGGTTTAAGAGTGTTAGAGTTGAAATAGGGAAAGCAAAACATTAATTATGAGGCAATGAGAATAATGAACTTGGTAGCTGATTACATAAGAGAGAAGAAGACCTAAGTGCCTTACAGCAGCAAACCAGTGGTAAAAGCAAATGTGGTAGATGATAACACAATGGCTATCTGTGTAGCTTCCAAGAAACTGTCCCTCTACCTCATTTAACCACTGTAATTTTAGAAGACAGGATTCGACTTAAGTGTTCTATCTCCAAAGCCCCTGAGGCACATATCACACAAAAGTCACCTTCTGGGAGATTTTAACACATGCTTTTAAATGAAGACTTCAGGATGACAAAGGAACATTCTAGAGGAATTATCCAACAGGTGATCAATCAAAGAAATAGGCCCATAGTTCAGAGAAAAATAAAGTCGCATAATAGAGATTTGAGTCTTTCCCATGCAGCTGATAAAAGGTTGAAACTGTGAAAGGATATGAGCTCTTAAAGGAATTAAATTAGAAAAAGATGACATGAAGTGAGTTCTGATATGTGAGAGAACGTAAGAGGAACTGAAACCAGGAATGATGGAGGTGAAGTATTCAGCGAGTAAACACAAGAAAGAGAAGCAAGATAGTAGAATTCCCCAGGACACACAAGAGGAAAACATTTCCAAGAAGGAAGGAATATTTGCTGTGCTTAAGTACTGCAGAGGGACCCGGAGAAAACTGATGGACGTGTAGCTACTGGGTTGAGCAGGTAGGAAACCAGGGTCAAGTTCTTCTGTAATCATGGAAAATTCACTTTTACAAACATGAGGCCCACTACACATCCATCCACTGGTTTAAGCAAATCAGAAAGTCAGGCTGCTGCAAACACAGTGATATTTTACAGCTGATAAAAGGCACACATCACACAAAAGTCATCTTTTGCGAGAGTCACCTACCCTGAGTTTCTAGCTCTACTAGTCGGCTTCCTGAGGATTCCATGACACTGAAGGACACAAAGCCTGCAGGCCAAAAGCTGTATCATTTTAATAAAATGATGTTTAATGGGATGTTCAAAATATAATGACAAAAAGACTGCATGAATATGTAAAGTAGCATACTTGTTTGAGCAAAGAATTGCAGTAACTGCTTTTTTTCTTTTTTCTGATGCAGCATCCATTTTTAAAATTAGCCAAGCCTCTCTCCAGCCTGACTCCTCTGATTATCGCTGCAAAGGAAGCGATTAAGAACAGCAGCCGCTAGGACAGCACGCCTTACCCCACACCATCTCCCTCCTGAGTAAGACTGAAACTATAACTGCTACAGGAAAAATGGAAGAAGAGACAGTCAAATGGGGTGGGGGGTTCTTTAACTTTCAAATGAATAGAAACTTCTTATAAGCCTTTTCCTACTCCCTCAGATTATGTAATTTATTTGTAAGCCTGAATCGCAGCCCAAACAGGGCAGCAATGTCGAAGTGACCAAACAGTGGTCACTTCTACCGTGAAGCGAAAGAGCCAGTAGTGAATCCCCTCATTTGTGCATACACTTTGAAGAACAAGGTTTCTCAAAGATGCACACACCCTCTTCATAGTGTCGTGTTTGTTTTTAAGTTAGAGTAGTCCCTATTGCATTCGAACTTCCTTCAAAACTCCTTACCCAATGTGATGTTTTTCACTTGCATTGTCATTAGATGTCCAGGAAAAAAAAAAAAAAAAAGAAGTCAAAACTTTTTAAAAAAAAAAAACAACAAAAAACAAACAAACAAAAAAAAAAACCAAAAAACAAAAACAAACAAAAAAACCCAGAGCAAGTACTGTGTGAACATGTGGAAGTCCATGCCCTAATAGAGTTGCAATTTTTTATTCTTCTTCTAGAGTGGTGGCTTGGTTTGTGTACCTGTTTTTCTGCATTTGTATTGGAAAACGTTTCTTTTATGACATTTTCCAAAAGCAGAGAGGAATGTGTATGTTCAGGAAGGGCTTTTAAAAACTGTGTATCTGAATAAAGCTCAATGGTGAAGTCCTGTCACATTTTCACGATGATGCTTAAGAAGTAGTGGATTTATCATTTATATAAACCAACGTTTTCAACTCATGACACCTATAGAAGGACACACCAAAAATGTAATAGTCTCATTGGGTGAGTCCAGATTCTGAACCTAGGAACTCCTAACAGGAGAAACCACACTTACAGATAGGACTTTCTTTGAGAGTCAAAAGAAAAAACAAATGTGCCAGACTTCTATCCTTGTTGGACAGTAAATAAACAAAAGATAAAAATACCTTCTTTAATCATTTCATGTGCTTACGGGCTATATACACACCAGGAAGAAATGAGCCCACTAACCACTGTTTCCTTATAATAAAATAATTTTGCAGTTTATAACATTTGAAAAATCAAAGTTCTGGAGAGGAGTGATATGATAAACGGCAGACTCTTAAAAAATCGAAGGGCAGTGAAAACTCCATCCCAAGCAGTGTTTGGCTGTAAATGCTTGTCCCATTTTCCATGTGTGTGTAACCAAATTCTGTTTCAGGATAGGGTGTGTTCATACTTCGTCCCTTGTACTTTTGAATTTCAAAAATATGTGCACAAGGATATTGAAATTATCCAGTGAAAATAAATTTGAATTTGCAATCATATGCCCCAAGAAATATCAGTTCACTGAATTCCTTTTGTGGCTTGGGAAAAATAAGAAAACCTGTTATTCTACCATGTATCTATTTACTAAAATTCCAACAGTTGGCACTTCCTGAATCTTCTGAGAATAGAAAAATATCCAGAGGGTGTCTCTGTAGAAAAGGATATGCTTCTCTTCCGAGTGCATTGTCAGTCTTACAAATCCTACAACGTTGTTTCTCTAAGCCTTTAAAAAGCTAGTAGTTTCTGCTGTAGAAGGCTTCTTGATTTGTACTATGTAAAAAATCTGAATAGAACCTATCTACATTCAGTACGAAGGGGAAAGAGATCAAGGACATGGGGGCCTCTCTCCTTCTCTGAAGGTACATCTTTCCATCCAACCATTCATCCATTTAAAATGAAAACACTTTTCTTTAGAGAGTTTCTGCTAAGCATATAGTACATTTTATGTTTAGATTATCCCACTGGCGGATTTCCTATTTTACTGTTGCTTTCTTTGACTACAAAATATAGGAGGGGGTGGATGCTGCCCTCTCCCCAAAAAATATCCACAGTGGATTAAACAGCAAAGGTGAAAGAAAAATCAAATGGTGATTTTAATTTGGAGCATACCAAGCTACACTTTGCAAAAAGGTGGCTGGGCCTGAAACTTAATGCCACATTGTTCGTGAGAAAGAGAGAGGCCTTAATTTTTATTTCATTAGGTGTGTTTTTTTTTTTTTCATTCATAGTGCCAGGGAATTCAATGATATATCTGGGATGCGAATAGAACTTGACCCATCGATAACTATGCCACACCAGTGGGGAGAACCCAAAAATCTGGTTGGGAAACCCTAGTTATCAACTAGCATCCTTTATATGCCTTTTTTTGGAAGGGGAGGGACCTGGAGCAGTGATCCTTGAGATCACTGTAGGCAGGGAAATGGCTGTTCTTTTATGCTTTCAGTTCAGCATATTGAAAGAGGAGCCAAGTACTTCTTTACCACACTACTTTTGTACCAAGAATTTATGATATATCCTAGCAGGCATTACTCTTCCGAATTTATGTCTATGTAAATCTTTAAATGGGAGCAGCTTCTAAAGACCCTTCCCCATGTTGGAGAGTTACTATATTTCTAATAAGTATTAGAGAGAAGCTGTTTCTCTTGCCAAAAGATGCTCAAGGATTCACATTTGGTACACTTGAACAGCTTGTACCCCAGGTAGTTAATAGTGTATATTCACTTTCCCTGGATTTTATGTTAGCTCATCTTGACAATGGTGAGTCTATCCAGATCTTTAAAGTTGCTTGTGTGCCCTGAGGTAATGAGGGTACATCATCAAATGTTGATTCCAAAATGTCCTGAGAGAGGAATAGGGCAGTGGGAATGTCAGGGAAGGGTGAGAAGCACAGTAGAGATTATTTATTTAAGAAAGAAAAGAACACTAATGTTGTAGCAAGAATCCAGTGTGTTGTCATCGTCCCATGAGGATTTGGAGATGACAATCCCCTCAAGTCACTCACCATGTCGGGTAATGACTTTGTTCTTGCTGATGTCGTCTATGTGTCATTGTAAATATTTCTGTGTCCATGTCCCATTTTGGCTACTGGATGGCCAAGTCATGTAAGAAGATTTAACTCAAGTATTTATTCTTTGTGTTATTCCGATTTCTTTCAGGCTTGTGAATTGCACCCTGATGTTTAAGTTTAACCACCTTATTCCCCATCTCTCCCTCCCCCGTGAAGCACATTCCATTGCTAAAAGAAAAAGAAATATGAAATTGCTTCCTGTCGTCTGTATAACTGTTTTGATAGTTTGAGATGTTTGTCTATAAAGGATATTTCTTCAGCTCAAAGATCGTGTAAATAATTATATTCATTTGCTCAAGGGGTTGTTTATTTCTAATGAGGCTGCCAGTTCTCAGAGAGAATCTATAAAATCACTTTAAAATAACAGGGATTAAAATTATGTAAAAATTAATGTGCATATGGACAGAGACTGGGAACACAGATAATTGAAATTAGTTGTGTTAGGGTGGTGGGATTATGCAAAATATTCATTTTAAAATTTTCTTTGATTTTTGATATTACTTTATAATAAATACACATCAGAAAGGGGACTATGAAAACATAGAAAAGACGTCAGAAGCAGATGCCTTCTGGCGGGAGCCCAGAGCATGCAGGGCACAGATATTTGCTAGTTACAATTATTCCATAGGCTTTATATTTGCCTGGGTGCTGAGGTTGGCACACGCTCGGGTATGGCACGTGCTTTCTTAGGGGACTGTTATCTATAAGTTAAATCTAAGGAGATATCACCGTTAGGATGTCAGATGCATACTTCTGCTTGAAAACTGGCTGCCCTTCAATTTGATGTGGTGTCACGGTTTCTGTTTCAGTTTACATCGGAGGGGTAACATTTGATTAGCCCCCCTTGATCACATCTGCTTAAGTATCACCTTTCTGGGTCATTTTAGCAGATGTTAAGGTTGAGTTTGAGAATTAGAAGGATAAAATCCCCAGCTTCCACCATTTTCTTGTCCAATGGGATATGGCATCATTCAACGAGGACTCTTAAGAATCAGCAGTCAAGAACCATTGATTTCAGTAGAAGCTATGACTTGCAATTAAAAGTTCACTATGAAAACATTAGAAAAAAATATCTAGAACTGCCTTCACCTGTTGACTTTCAGTCACAGTCCTGCCAACTTTGGCTTGTCATGGCCTCTGTGTGCTTTTTATATGTCCTGATTATAGGTTGAATGCAGCAGTTGTCATCTTGAAAGAGAGAAGGGAGACTACTAAGGGAAATAAATTTCCCTCTAAGTCACCAAAGAAAGTTTAGGTGAGGACATTTATAATGAGGTATAGTCTCAGATGTTACTCAGTTTCAGCAAAAGCAGACCATTTACCTGGAGAACACTTTTCACTGGCCATTTTCAACATACTTCTGGGAGTCTTAACCTGACACCCCCAGTTGAAATATCATGGTCCTTTTCTGAGCTACTTGCAGTTAATATTAAGTTAAACAAAGGCATGACCAGTAATGCAAGCTTCTCCCAGTCTTTGAGCCAGAGGACTGAAATACAGCATTTGTAAATCGACAGTTTAATAGGCCTGGGACTTTGAGTGAACTTAACATACAATTCTGAACATATATTTGCATGTGGATCGGGAAGGAAATAAATGGAACTTTGGAAATAAAGAAAATATTTTTTTCTTACTATGTATTTCATACAAGATTTATTTCTGATAGAATCTTTTCACTCCTTTCATGATCCCACACTCCTTTAAGTGACCAAATGAATAGACCCCAACTCCTCATGCACCAGGACGGTGTTTAATAGTCAAGAATATCTAACCGAATCTGCAAATGCGGGAACTGAGATATCCCCTCCATGTGCACACCTCTGTGTACAAGTATTCTAGAACATGGAGCATTTACTGCCACTTAATATGCTCAAACTTGCAAGATCAAATTAGAGAAGCTGGTTAATGTCATCAGTCTCCTTTGGAAGCTGTCATCAGGAGAACGTTATGCAATGATGTTGGCTGTAAGGCAGTTACTATGTTCACCTAATTTAGTATGTAAGAGGATATCAACAACAGTTACAGAGAATCAGTCAGTTCTAGTGGAAGGAACACTAGCCTAGAAGTGCAGAGACTACTCGAATATAGGCTCTCTTACTAACTTAGACTGTGTGACCTTGGGCAAGTCACTTAACTTTTTCCTGGCTGTTTCCTGGTCTGTAAAATAAGGGTATTGGACTCTCCAAAAGCCCTAACATTGTGATAATATAGGTTGCCTTGCAGAGGCAACCTGTTAAAGTGATGGCAAATATCACATGGTTAAGTCTGGGTCTCTTATGTTACAGTTAAATAATAGAACTATGTAAAATGATGCGGGGGTTGGGGGAGAGCCTCAAGCAAACGAAGTTAATAATACTTGGGAATGTTCATCAAACTTGTGGCAGCCTTCCAATTCCTTCACAGTTGTTTTGTTTCTGTTTTAATGTCCTTTTTCTGTTGAGTGTTCCCAGTTTTCATTTTCCATATACTCTGTATCTAAAGTCTGGTTTTCATTAAGCTGTGGCCAGTATTTGCTACTAGGACAGAAATGCACTGTTATACTTGCTAGAATAAGTAGAGCTATACTCGGGCCTCTTTCCTATAAAGCTACATTGGCTTTATAGCATTTCCTTTGTAAATGGCACAGGATGGCAGAGCCCATACATTTTGATGGTTGGGACTATTAAGAGTGAACCTAAGCATTTGCAGGTTGCTGAGAGAGACGAAAGAGCAATCACATGCTAAGAGCATTGAGGAGCATTGGCAAATCTGCTTATTGGGAAGCTAAGATAGCATTCCTGATGACAACTCCCACAGCGATTGGCCAGTGTCTGAGTATGCTGCTGGCAAGTGGGTGAACCGGAAGTTAATGGATGGTCCCACTATCCTGCATATGGCAGAGTGCCAACCATCCCTGAGTGTGAAATTCAAGTTCAGTGTGTGTGCTTGTGTGTGGTAGGCTTTATGGACCCTGCCTATACTCTATTCATTAGTGATAATAAGACCTTTCACAGAATCCGATAACCATTAGTGAGTTATTGAGATCTCAGTACATCAGCCAGAAGGAGCCAGAGCACAGGATACTGATGTCTATTGGGATCATACTCATAATATCCAGACAAAACAGGTTGAGGAGTATCTACATTTTCATGTTTATCAGAACTGTATCTCATTTGGCTGTGCATTACTTTTGTTAAAATGTGTTCTCTGTAATCCCATGTGTAGTGAAATTCTGTAACTTTGGATTAAAGGTATTTATGGTCTTTTTGTTTGTTTGATTTTTAAGTAAGTTATTTCTTTTGCAGACCTGCTGATGGTATGGTTCCATCCTTCTGACCTCAGCATCTGATATTTAAGACTTTTTGTTTCAAATATTGTTATTTTAAATTGTGGTTGAAGCAATAGAAAATTGAAATATGGATTGTGCATGACTGTGTCTTGAGTGTAAAATATTGCAGTTTGAAACTTGGACCTAAAGTATTGCAAATAAAAATGACAAACATCAATAAGTCAATGTTTCTTTCTTCTGTCATCTTCCCTCCCCTTGGTATAGGTCATTTCACCTGATTCACAGGTTGGACTGCAACACTCTGTTAGTATTGAGGCAGGAAAATGCCCAGCCTGGTGAGCAATGTAGCAAATGTTCTGAAGTTTCTGCCACTTAGTAGCAGTCTGAGTTAACTCAGACTCACAGTCCCCTTCTGGTTTTTTTGCAGACTAATTCAGAGAGGTGAATGTATAGATTCAAGTCAGGGCAAAAGCCTCATAGTGCAAACAGGTAAATTAAAAAAAATGGCAAAATGAATTATAAGTAGTAAGTCATTTTGTGATAATTTCTTACTTGAATTCTCATGTGTATCCATTCAGTTAATATTTATTGAATGATGATACAAAGTGCCAGACAGTATTCCTGGACTTGAGAATTAAGCGAGTTATTATTTAAAGAGTAAGAAAGATATTACAAAATAAATGCTACAAAGGATAAATACTATAGGACTGTGTTTACTATGGAGAGGGAGACATCTATGAGAAGGAAAGATGAAGCTGCTCTGATAAAGGGACTTTGAGTTGAGATATGTAAGAATAAAAAGCTAGATGAATACGGATAGAAAGAGGGTAAAGAAATACAAAATATAATCAATGACAACCTTCTTCATCCTTTATAGTCTTTCCCTCCCCACTTATCCACCCACCCCCAACGATGATCAAAGATTTAAGGAAGAAGTTGCTCTAAAGGATCTGAATACTTATCTGCAATGGCTTCCATTTTAAATGATTACCTCATTTACCAGAATAGGCAGAAGATAAACTAGGAACCAAACAGAACTCCACAACCCCCAGTAACATCCACCAAAATGATAGCCAGGTATTACTGCATTGTTGGCTTCCAGTTCCTCCCCCCCCCCCAAAAAAAAAAAACCTCCATAGAAAAATTGTCTAATCTGTACTCTCATTTAGCTCAATAGTGTGTTCTCCATTAAAAAACTTTACCAGTGAAATGGCCCTCTCTGGTGGCGCAAGGATTAGGACGCAGTACTGCAAGCTAGCCACAGCAGCTTCAGTGTGAGTTCAATCCCTGGTCCTGGAGGTGACCACATGGAACAGAAGACTTCTGTCTCGTCCACTGCTCCTTTTAGCAGTGTACTTTGCTGATCAACCTGTTCTGTACCCTACTCTGTCTGGTGAATCCTCTCACTGCCCCTGCACCTCTGGCCTGTACCCCAGTTCTGTATGTACCATCTTAAAAAAAAAAAAAAACTGTTCTCTCCCCCCCCAAAAAAAAAACTAGCAGTGAGGAAAGGACTGTTTATTTGTGCAAGTTCTATTTCCTTCTCCCTCCCACCTCTTGTGTGTATATACACACATATACCTAGGCATATACATATAGAGACATATATATTCATATACACACTTTTTTCTAAGCCATTTGAAAATAAGTTCTGTATTAATTCCTTGTTAAAACTTCACTGTGTACTTCCTATGAACAAGAATATTATGTATAAACCACATTGTAGTTACCAAACAAATCAGGAAATTAGAGGTTAATACAGTACTATTCATACAGTATTCCAGTTTAATCCATTGTCCTAATAATCAGTTGGTTATGCTCATCTTTCTATTTAGATGATGAAATAAACATCTGCATAGTGTTTAGTTTTTAATCCTATCTGGTACAAAGCAACACAGTTATGGGAGAAATTTCAAACCCATACTACTGAGAACATTCAATCTTCCATTCCAAAAAAAATTTTTATTGGGCTCTTGCTGTAGGTCAGATTGGCACTGCAAACATTTCTGATAACAATGTTTCCCCCCCCCCCTAAAAACCACCTCCAGGCCCTCCCTGGTGGCACAACAACTTGGAGCACAGCACTGCAAAGCTGGACATGCCGGCTTCAGTGTGAGTTTGATCGCTGGCCCCGGAGGTGACCCACATGGCGTGGCAGAACTCTCCTGACCCACCTACTGATCCCCCCAGCAGTGTGCTTCCTTGATCTGCCTGTTCTGCTCCCCACTCTGTCTCTGATGAATTCTCTCATGCCCCTACCCTCTAGCCTGTACCCCAGTTCTGTATGCATAAATAAATAAATCTTTAAAAGAGTCAAAAAACCACCTCCAAATGAGACTGAGGGGAAAATTCATTGAAAGTTGCTAGATTCACCTTTTGAAGTCAGGTTTGACAAATCGAACCCTCAAGACTCAAATTTAGGAAACTGGAGATTTGCTCTCCTAGAACATATGCACAAAATGTGCTAACTTTGTGTAAGTGGATACACAGCGGCACTGTAGTCTCTGAGTGGATTATATTTTACCAAATACTATTTCACTGGTTGACTGTATTTAGAGGCAAGCTTTATTGCTCTCAATCTATGCTGAAAGAAAAAGAAGCATTTACTGTAAATATGAGTGGGTGAGTGAGAATCCCAGTATTAGCCTTTAGCCAAGTTTTCTGCTTATGTGAATGAATGAACAAACATATTGCTTCTCCCATTCTTGGCTTCATGTCCTCCCAACCTTGTTTGGCAGGTGTCTTCCAACTGTTCTATGTGCCTGTTATATTTACTAGAATTCTTTTTCTTTATGTGCAAGCAGATTTTATACCTGGTACCATTGTCTTTTATCAGAGAATAAGATGCCAAATGTATTTCCCTTGGCCACAACAGCTCCCAGGAAGAGTCCCAGACAATGATAACTGTATCATTCCATGCTTAATTGCTGGAACTCAAGCCTCATCTACGCCCGTCATGCCTTCTGAAGTGGAAGGGGTTTAGCTGAAGTGCCCCAGAAATTATGGTGGTTATCACTTGCCAGGGGGCCCTGGTACCCAAACACTGAGTGGCACATGATGGCTTCCTATACACTTGTGTCAAGCACCACCGCTGCCACTGCCTTCTCAGTATCTGCATCAGTCCTTATTACTGGCAACCTCTGGGCAGGGCACCAGGAGACAGTCCACTTGCAGTTTTTAAATTGTTTTGTTTTCCATACCTGAGGGCAGAACCCCCTCCCATGAAATTTACCCATTCTACTGCTATCTTTGGACTCATTTCGATGAGTCTTTTTTCCATTTCTGGCACTTCACTGAATACAGGGAACAAGGTTGGTAACTCATTTCCTCCTCTTGCAGTGTGTCAGGTCAATCTCTGTATAGCTGAGTCCTTTTCAGTCCCACCCACCACCTCCCATGGAGTTAACCTGCAGGTTTGTGCTAGCTATTCCTTAGAAATGCTTCATGTTCTTCCAGGAAGCGCGCCTATGGTAGCTTGCCTCCATTCGATGTGCACTTTAACGTTTTAATTAGAGTGTCCTGGTCCTGTCTCCTATGGCCATCATTCCCACAAAGAAACAATAGACTGCTATGATAGGGACGGAAAGGTTACACGGGACCTCTATATTAGTACTTAACTACACATGAATCACCAATGAAAATCAACAGACCGCATGATACTACAGAAGCCATGGCAAGGGACACAGGCTGGATAGCAAGCGCAACTCACTCCCAAAGACAACTACCAACAAGTAGTCTGCACCTTAGTACCAATTATCAACTACAAACTAGTAGTTGACACCTTAGCATCAAGAAGACCCTCCACAAATGAACTGCAACTACCATTATTCCCGCCAACCTTAGGAATTGAGACTTCCTGGTTTTTCTTCAGAACTTCTGAGGGAAGCAGGAAACATAAATATCACTAATGAATTCTTCACTGCAGGCATGAGGGACTTGACTCCTCAGCCTATGGTGTCACGTGAGCATAAAATTTGTAGCAAGAAACTTTTCACTGAACAACAGGGTAAAAGCTAGTTTCTGCAACCCAAATGCCCAAAAGTGGATGACTGGATTAAAAAGATGTGGTACATACACACAATGGAATATTACTCAGCAACCAAAAAAAAAAAAAAACATGCTTTTTGCAGCAACATGGATTCAGCTGGAAGAGATCATGCTTAGTGAAATAAGTTAGAAAGAAAAGGAAAAATACCGGATGGTTTCACTCAGTGGGAGTATAACAGACCAGGTGAGAAAATAATGAACAGCTATATACCAGAGCCATTTGATGGGGGTGGAGAGGGGAATGGGATCAAAAAAGGTGGGGGGAGAGAAGTGCACTGGACTATGATGGCACAAGGGGTGATTTGTGATGGGAAGCCTACGGGGATTACAACTGAGATGGGAAAAGGCACAAAATGGTGGGGAAAATAAAGTCTTATTTAAAAAAGTTAGTTTCTGTGCTTTAAAAACAGGTGGGGTGCGACCAACCCTAACAAGGTAGCAGAATAGAATAACTCTGAAAATTTTGTCCTGAAACCTGGCAGTAGACATCAGGTTTTTCCAATTTTCCTTCTAAACTCTTGAACAGGCACAAGCAATTGGTAGCAAAATCTTCATATTTAAATAGAGGTATGAGATAATTTTTTTTTAATTAGTCACTTAATGAGATCCAGTGATTCATTCCTCTAGCATTTCAGTAGAGTCAGGATTATCCACCTATTTTCCTTTAAATATTTTGACCATTATTGAACACCAGCAAATCAGAGGAGATTTTGTTCTCACCTATGCACTCCCAAGAGCAAGACAGGGCTTAATGTCTGGGTGAAACAACAACAGTTTATTTACACAGGGGTGATGGGGGGAAAGGAAAAACTTTTAAGGCCACAGATGGCCAGCTGTCCTACCTCAGATAGCGTTCGCAATGTCCAATAGTCCAAACCAAAAGCTGTTCATCAAGGTAGTGGTGACCCTCTGATGAGGGCCTGGAGCTGGTGGCACACTGGTACACAGTGGCCCAGGATCCAACTACTCTGGCAGCTAGTCATAGTCACAGTTTATGCTGCTGAGGCAGGGTAGCAGCAACCCCGAGGCATAGCAGGTCAGTGCCAGATACCAACTGAGTAGCTTCCACAGGGGGTATTACAGGACCACGGCACGAGTGTTTATAGCTCTTTCTAGGTGTCAGGCGTAGGCCAGTGGCATGCTTCATGAATGCAGCTGAAGTGA